TATGTTCCACAGGCTTTTAAAGTTGCAGTAACCTCTACTCAAAAAGCTTACTCTTGACCGAGGTGTCCTAGCTAATTATATACCAATATCCAATCTCCCATTTATTTCCAAAATCCTTGAAAAAGCTGTTGCAAAGCAGTTATGTGACCACTTGCACAAGAATGATTTGTTTGAGGATTTTCAGTCAGGATTTAGAGTCCATCATAGTACAGAAACCGCATTGGTGAAAGTCACCAATGATCTTCTCCTAGCCTCGGACACAGGACTTGTCTCCATACTTGTCCTCTTAGATCTCAGTGCTGCTTTTGACACCATTGATCACAGCATCTTACTGCAGAGACTTGAACATGTTATTGGGATTAAAGGAACTGCGCTAATTTGGTTCAAATCTTATTTATCTGAAAGATTTCAATTTGTTCATGTTAATGACGAATGTTCCACACAAACTGCAGTTAGTCATGGCGTTCCACAGGGCTCTGTGTTAGGTCCAATTCTCTTCACTTTATACATGCTCCCTTTAGGCAATATTATCAGGAAGCACAACATAAATTTCCATTGCTATGCAGATGATACTCAGTTATATTTATCTATGAAGCCAAATGAATCAGATCAGCTGGTCAAACCTCAAGCATGTCTTAAAGACATAAAGGCCTGGATGGCCTGTAACTTCTTACTTCTAAACTCTGACAAAACTGAAGTCATTGTGCTTGGGCCTGAAAACCTTAGAAATCTGCTGTGTAATCATATAGTTACTTTGGACAACATAGCTCTGGCCTCCAGTACTACTGTGAGGAACCTTGGAGTCATCTTTGATCAGGATTTGCCCTTTAAATCACAAACACAAACCAAGTCTCTAGAACTGCCTTCTTTCACCTGCACAATATTGCAAAAATCAGGAGCATCCTGTCTCAAAGTGATGCTGAAAAACTGGTCCATGCATTTGGTACTTCCAGGCTGGACTACTGTAACTCTTTATTATCAGGATGTCCCAATAATTCCCTAAAAAGCCTCCAGGCTATCTAAAATGCTGCAGCCAGAGTACTGACAGGAACTAGCAAGAGAGAGCATAGCTCTCCCATATTAGCTTGTCTCCACTGGCTCCCTGTAAAATTCAGAATAATGTCGTGGCTAGAGTGTGATGCCGACTAAAATTAATTCAGACAAACCATCCCAATTTAAAGGATCATTTAATATTACAATTATTCTGGATAGAGTAGTATTTAAACAGATAATCTTGTAGTTAGGGAAACAGAGGACAGGAACTCTCCTCCTGCAATATGATAAAGCATTAAATAAGAAGATTGTCAAAAGTGTCAGTCCAGTCAGTTGTTGTTGGTCACGAGTCAGTCTTTCTGTCAACCCACAGTCAGTTGTCAGTCTCCCCCCAGCGGTGTCCCCCAAAAAGCACACGGTTTACCATCCTAGTAGCATTTTCTCTCTTTCTCCCTCTCTAACCCAGCTCTCCTAGCCTTTTATCTGCTCACACTTATACAGTCTTCCATGGCCTGAGCATGAGACACAGTCCCATGCCAGCCACCCACACGCACCTTCTTCCGGGCATTGTCTAAAAATGTCCAGTACATGAACTTCTAGGTCGCATTGACCTAGCGCACATTTCCTTTTTCTAAACCTGAACAGAGCAAATAAGGCTGCAGCTATCTATTCCCTATCTAAGGAGGAAGTCACTCGGGATGTTGACCCATAGGTCAAACAAGGGGGACCCAGCCCAAGATATTCTTGCTTGAGCAAGAAACAGATCAAGCTTTTGTAAACACTTAGCTCAGCCTTACATAACTATTACAAATAATATCTATATATGAAGTAGATACTGTTACCTCTGGAACCTTGTTTATTTTTAGCCACTACATAATCTTTCCATTACTAAAGTGAATATTTGAAGCATTTTTGGATAGGTAACTCAAGTAGGGCTACAACTATAATTATTTTCTTTATTGATTATTTAGTCAGATAAAATGTGTTGCCTCTCACCCAATGTCAGCTGGAATAGGCTCCACCCCCACCGCAATGGCTGAGGCTTTAACTATCACCCTCCCCTCCCCTCCCCTCCTCTCCTCTCCTCTCCATGCTTCTTTATGCCGCCATTACACATCACTAACCTTGTGTCTCCTCTCTCCCATAGTGTGTCCTCTCTCTCTCCCTGTACAGTTCTGCAAGTTGCCCTGGCTCTGGAGTTCTGATGAGCAGCTATCGGCCACATTGACCTGACCAGTGTTTGATTGTTTGTTGTGTCTTGTTGCTTTTCTTCTTTTGTCTCTCCTTTATCCACTCACCCCAACTGGTCGAGGCAGAAGGCCGCCCACCAAGAGCCAGGATCTGTCGGAGGTTTCTTCCGTTAAAGGGAGTTTTTCCTCCCCACTGTCGCCAAGTGCTTGCTCAAGGGGGATTTGTTGTTTTTTTTTCTTCTCTGTAATAATAGTGATAACAGTAAGGTCTAGACCTTACTTTGTAAAATATCCTGAGATGACTTTTGTTGTGATTTGGCACTATACAAATAAAATTTGATTTGATTTGATTTGACTGGCCAGTGTCTGTATTGTGTCCATATATTGTTCGTTATGTGTACAATGTACTCAGAAAATAAACATTTAGGAAAAAAACACAAACATTGGGCCTCATGCAAGAACATTTTCATATTCGTTTTCTACATTTCTCTGAGTTTTCCTCTGTGAGGTTTGTTTCAAATTGGGTTCACTAATCTCTGTTAAACTCAGTGTGGAGCTGTGAGGTTAAAGTCGCAGTTCAATAAAACAAAAAAATAAAGTAAAACTGATCATTACACAGTTACTGCCTGAAATAAACAAAAACAAAGTTTACATTATTGAAATTCCATTTTTATTTTGTTAGGTTTTTAAAAATCTGTTGATAAAATATCACCAAGTCTCACTTTGAGAATCTCTAAATGTTAAACCCACCTTGACCAGAGTTCACCTTTAAGTACATCCTGAACACAATCATTCACACAACTACACACAGTTACATCCTATTAGTTTCCTAATTTGTGTTTTCTTAAGTCAACTTAACTTGTTAGATGTCCACATCTCTTCATGTGATGGTTAGTGTCTTATCTGGTTTGACGCCTTCGTTCTGTAAATGGTCTTATACTTGTATAGCATCTTTCTACAGCACACTCAAAGCGCTTTCACATTATTCGGCCATTCGCACTCTCAAGCACTCACGCATTCACACACCGGTGACATCACCGGGAGCAACTTGGGGTTCAGTGTCTTGCTCAAGGACACTTCGACATGTTGACTGGACAAGCCGGGAATCGAACCGCTAATCTTCCGGTTAGGAAACGACCCACTCTACCTCCTGAGCCACAGCCGCTCCTGTTCTGTCAGGATAATGTCGTTCACCAGGGTTTGTCTTATGAAGGACTCTGTTCTACAGACGTCGGTGAAGATGCTCGGAGTGAATTTCTAGTGTCTTTGTGTAAAATCAGTGAGAGAAGTCCAGTCACCTTCCTGCTCAACATTAAACTTTGATGAACCAGTTTGTTATCCACACATCATCTACATTTGGCTTTATCCAGTGTGTTTGACAAAGTGGCGGCCTTGTTAGCAGGCTCTACCTGTAAACAGCCAGGATCTCTCACACTGTGGCTTCACGACTAATTTCACATTTAATGATGAAAACTAAAATGCTACACAGTAAAATATGTACAGACATTCAATAGGACTCCTCTGTCATTTCCTGTGGAAGCTGAGGGAGCTCGAGGTTGATGATTTATAGTTCAGGCTCATCATCTTCTGGAGCCAATTGACTCGTTTTCTCAAGGAAACAGTTTCTGTGGATGAAAAATGAATATCCTGGAGAACCTGAAGAATAATCGGCAACCAAAGCCGCTCTCTCAGGCTCCGTACATCTGCAGCAACAGGAAATCAGAGTTTGGCTCATTCTTGTCAAGTAAAAGAGAATAAAACACATTTTACACTTAAGTGAAAATTCATCCATTCTGGTACACATGTAAAACTGCTCTGAGTTGAAGTCAAAGTATTTCAAGTCAGACTGTTTTCAGCCGACTTTCCTGTGGAGATGTCAACTTGAAGTGAGACCTGGTGAAGCAGCCAGAAAACCTTCCTGCTTGGTTCAAGTGGAAATATAACACTCATATTTCTTTTAAGCACATTACTCGGTCACTAGGCAAACACAAAGGTGTCTCTACACCACTACCCAGAGCGCACTGGTCCACCCAAACAGCCGCTGGAAACTCTCCTCCTCCTTCTATGTACACAACAAACCACAGTGCAGCTGCCCCATGACGTTAGGCTCAGCACAAACCTTTACAACAGCAGACAAAAGAAACAGTTGAACATTAGCTTTCATGGCCCAAATGTTCCAAACAAAAGGTTCTGACCTCAGAAAAGATCCAGTGTGGAAGAATTGGCAGCAAAAACATATTTACATGAATAAATATCTCATAAAGCATCTTATTAAAACAGAAGAAGGCTCCCGTTATAGTGAGAAACTGTTTTGTCATGGTGGCAACAATACGCAGCTGCAGCTCAGAGACTTTAAAATGTCTAATAATCTAAGTAGCTTCCTGCTTTCAGTGCACAGAGCTGCAGAGCCATGGCACCGCCATCTCGGGGTGCTGCTGCTCCGTAGTACCAGACTGGTCCATAGAAGTTATGAGCATAAATATAAAATTTCTCATAAATATAAAATGCTAATTACAAGAAAACATTCACACCCAAGTGAATACAGTGCGTTTCTGCACATTAAGTCTGTGCACATTTGAAAATGTTCATTTGTTTAAGATGTTCAAAATCCCTGATTTTATTTCCATAGTGCTCCCGTTTTTAGTACCACCCAATAAAATAAAGTAAATGCTGATGAGAGAGGATGCAGAGGATAAAAAGCTGGACCTCACACAGGGCGTTTCAGTTTGTGTCACTAACGTCTGGATCTCTCTGCAGCATTGCTTCCTGGCGGCACAAACCGAGATGGATCAATTAAATACCTGTTAAAGATTGTCTCTGTGGGTTCTGCTGAGAAAATTCTGTCTCGCCACCAACAGGTGGCTGTTTGGTTTCCAGCTTGTCAAACAAGTCACTGCAGCTGGTGAGACGTTTTCGGAAACATCCAGTGTGTGAGCTGCTGGTCTGAGGCTGGCTCTCCTGCAGCCAAGGTTCAGTTCCAGTGGGGCTGCACGCCAAGCAGCTCCCAGTGGGAATGTGACACAACACTGACAGTGAAAACAGCTAAACTACATACTGCCAGCAGCCCGCTGCTGCCCTCTAGTTGACAGGAGCAGCACCCAGGCCCAGGTACTCGAGGTTCTCTGCTGCCGGTTGGAACATGCCAGTCCTGGCACAAGCGGAGTTGGCCTGGGGCACAAAGCTGGCCTGGTAGTCTGGGTTGTCGAGACTGTTGCTGGCGGCCAGTGGGAGCGAGCTCTGGGCAGTGTTCAGGTATTCTGGCCCCTCAGGAACTTGACTGGAGAGCTTCACATCCTCCTGCGTGGAGGGGAAGGAGGCTGCACTGCAGTCCACACTCAGGTCCTCGTAGTTGGGATTCAGAGCCTCCAACTGCCTGCAACTCCGGCTGGTTTCACTCACAGTCTGGTTCATGTAGTCTGAAAAAGATTGGGGATGATTTATAAGGTTATAGAGCAGTAAACCTGTTCATTTTGTTTTTTCTCTTCTCAGCTCTGTAGTTCACATTCAGACGTTCCTGGTGATGTTCTGTTCTTAAAAAATGCTGTACCGTGGCTGGTGACGTTGTCTTTATCCACCATGTGAGTGGGGTCAGTGATGTACCGCAGAGCGACGCTGTTCTCCTGGGCGGGGGGGTTGTTCTGTGGTGGAAAAGAGATGCAGTGAAATGAGGTGTAAAACAAACACTTCTCTCTGTGTGTGTGTGTGTGTGTGTGTGTGTGTGTGTGTGTGTGTGTGTACCATGGGGCTGCAGGGACTGTTGTCATGGTTACTCATTCCTTTGTAAGGCAGCAGGTATTTGTCAGCATCGACCACGTCCTCCACGCCGTCCGAGCTCAGCATGCGAGAGTAAAACCTTCTGTCTGAGGGACTCGGAAGCTCGCCCTGAGAGGGGGCAGGTCAGATAAGTGTCAGTCCTGCAGGCCGAGACAACACTTCTAGCTCTGTTTTATAAATGATGTGTGCAGTGAGTTTTCCGTGGATGGCTGAAATGCTCACGAATGTTAACTTTGTGAGCACCGTGTTATTTTTATTGACAGAACACAAACAAAAGCTCCAGTGGCTCCAAAGCAGAATGTTCCTGAACTAAAGAGCAGACCTCACTCACACACACACACTTGTGGACAGCATACCTGTATGACCAGGTATCTGGATGGGTCTCTGGCCATTTTAGAGAACTCAGCGATCAGCTCTCTGAATCTGGGGCGACTGGAAGGGTCAATCATCCAACCTGAGGAGAAAGGAAGGCGTCACTGGTGTAAACAGCTCCTCAGCCGGACCCCCGGCCGTCCGCTGCCCCTGGCTCTACGTGTTCAGGATGAACTTTCTGAGCGTTAATGCCATCGGGTCAGAAGAGTTCTTACATTTGACCATGATCATGTAGACGTCGATGGTGCAGATGGGGGGCTGAGGCAGCCGGTCTCCTCTCTCCAGCACCGAGGCGATCTCACTGGCTGGGATGCTGTCGTACGGCTTGGAGCCGAACGTCATCAGCTCCCACACTGTGACACCTGCAGACCACACACACCCTCTGGTTTGCATGGTTCTATTAACAGGGGCTTATCGTTGCCTGTGATGTTTTTATTGGACGGCACAGTTATATTGTTCTGTGTTTATAGCTCTATAAATAAACTATTATTATTGTAACAGGTGCCATAAGAACAAGGAGATGTTGCCAAGACAACCAACCTAAAAGCAGAAGTTCTTCAGTTTGCTTAAACTTCTAATGTTTTTAAAACACGCTCAGGTCTGGTTGCTGTTTAAAAACCAACGGAAAGCTGCTAAATGCAACATCAGTACACAGTGAGAGCAGGTTCTCTGAAATCAATTGCGTCCTTGAGCAGGCTGGAGAGCCAGGGACTGACTCACCGTAGCTCCAGACGTCACTCTGATGTGTGTAGGTCCACTGGAGGATCGACTCCAGCGCCATCCATTTAATGGGAACCTGCAGAGGCCAACACACTTCACACAGTGCTACTCTAATCAAACGGACATTAAATGGCAAAGCTTTGGTCTGTTTCTCTGCACATTTTCAGTGTAGATATAAAAACGAGGGTAAAATGCAGCTGTTTGCTTCAATCAACCAATCAGCTCATTCACAAAACAGCAATGGACTGTTCGCGTGTTTATGTCAAATCTGTGCTGCATTTGAGGAAACCTGAAAGACCCAGAGTCTCAGTGATTTCAGCCGGTTCGGTCTTTGTCACAGGATCAACCCAAAGGTTTAAAACGCCATCACCGTCATTTCTTAGTGTTCAGTATGCACACGGTCCAGGAGGGTGTAGCACAAAGATATATGTTTTAAATTAGCCTCCATGCAGGGTTTTGGTCCTCACACGGAGAGCCAGAGCGACACACACACCTTTCCTCCGTCAGCGTGGTATGCCTTCTCATCAGCCGTCAGCAGTTTGGCGAGGCCGAAGTCGGTGATCTTGACGTGGTTTGGCGTTTTCACCAGGACGTTCCTCGCTGCCAGGTCTCTGTGCACCAGGTGACGCTCCTCCAGGTAGTTCATCCCCTGCACATGCACACACAGATTAAAAGTGGGTGTTAGGAGCTGGCACAGCCTCATGCATCCTGAACACTGGCGCTCTCTCCCTTACTGGATGTTCTGTATCAATTTGATTCACTGCTGAAGCCCTGTGTGCTGTGTCAGCACAGTGGCTTCATTCAAATGTTGTTCACGCAGCTGTGGACGCACACTCCCAAGCACAGACACATCCACGTCTGTGTCCATCTGAGGACACAGACATCAGGGAAAGCATTTACAGAGTGGGAGGGTCTTCATAATCAGAACCGCTGTAGGATGTGCAGTTTCATTGGAGCTTGTTTGGGAGTTTCCCAGTACTTATAAGATCAAAATGAGATTTAAGATCGAGTGAACAGACTAACGAGGCCCCACATGGCGCACACACCCAGGCCAACCAGCCTCGGCAGGCAGACGGAGCTCTCACCTCTGGACAGAGGGAGAGAGATGCTGCTGCTTTTCCAACATTATCTGGGCTCACCTTGGCGATCTGGACACACCAGTTCAGCAGCCACTGGGCTCCAATGCTGTCCTTGTGGCGCTGGACGTAGTCCAACAAGCAGCCATACGGCATCAGCTGCGTGACCAGCTGGACCGACGACGTCAGACAGATTCCCAGTAGACGACACACGTGAGCGTGGTCCACGCTCGCCATCACATAGGCCTCCTACACACACACACACACACACACACACACACACACACACACACGTGTTAGTGTCTGAGACATTCACAATCAGTAGAGAATGTTGTGGAAGTGAATGTAGGAGGAAGGAAATTGGGGGTACAGAGCCGTTTCCTAAACGTGGCAGTACAGTCATAGTAATCGTTGCTCTCTTTTGCTCTTTGAGTCATAACCTTGTTTTTTCAACCACGTTAATCATTTGTAACCTCAGACCTTGTTGCTGTCAGGGTTCTATGTCCAGCGTGAGTTCATTAGAGGCAAAGAAGAAAGTCAGATCATGTTGTGGTTGTAACCAAAGGGAACAGAAGGGAAGAAACAACAATTATTTATTGTAAGATAGTTTTTGTGATGAGTGCACCAGAGGAAGGGAGTAGGAAACAGAAGAGCAGAAGCGAGCAGACAAAGGGTGAGGAGATGGAAACCAGGGAGAGGACTCTTACATCCAGGATTTCCTGGTTGGCTTTCGGTGAGGTTGCCTCTCTGAGAACTTTGATGGCCACCGGGATCCTCACACTCTCTCCCTCAGGGATCCATAGCCCCTAAACATACAAACATCAGCATCATCGGCACACCAACGGCAGCACACAGCTGTTCCAGCAAAACAGCCCTGAAGGGGTTTGTCGCCTGCATCAGTCTTCACCTTGTAGACAGTCCCGAAGGCCCCAGAGCCCAGTACCCGGATCTTCTTGAACTCCATCTCCTTCAGGACCCTCAGCAGCGCCTGGTTTGGAGCTTCACCGCTCGGAGTCAGCGGCTCCACCAGCTGACATTCCACAGATACAGGATTCAGACAGAGGTCAGAGGTCATTCTCCGACATTCAAGGATAAAGAAAACCTCAGCACTGCGACTCTATCTGGACAAACTGTGACTGTCATAAAGCTGGAGAGTAAGGTGCCATGCTCTGTGTGTGTGTGTGTGTGTGTGTGTGTGCGCAACAAAACATTACCACATAAACACATGGTATAAAGAGTTTTGCTAATACCAACCCCTCCCACCTCTCTCTCCTGCAGCAGGCGGCGCATTGTCCTCTTCCTCCGGATTTGTCGTCGCCGTAGCAACACAAAGATGATCAGTGACGCAATGACAAGGACCAGGAGCCCGACAACCACACCTGCTGCCAGCGTGGAGTGGACAGCAGCACTGGGAGAGCACAGAAGGTGTTACAGTATCCTGACGTGCGCAGCACAGTGCACATTGTCATCTAAATGTGTGACTTCACCTTGTCTGCTATTAAACTAATGTTGTAATGAACGTAAAGTCCAGTGTTAACAGCGAATTCCCACAACTCCCATTCAGATCGACTTTGCTAGTATCACACTGAACCGCATTTACATTCACATTTAAAACAGCAAAGCAGAAACTGGGTCGACCCCCAGCGCGCTGAGGAAGAAGTTGCAGTGCGAGATCAAATCTGCCGTGCTTAGAGGAAAACTCGGCTAAATGTACTGTTCTCAGCTTCCATAGATCTGAATTAAAATTGATAATTATTGCAGAGTTCCCACTCGCTGCCATTCAAACTGGGCCAGTGGGACTCTCAGGGGCGTCAGCCCGGCAACTGACAGGAAAGATGCAGCCTCATGATGAACACGAGGAGAATGAGTGAACACTGCACAGCCACAGACTGTCGTCCACCACTGAAGTCTTACCCCGAGCATCCTGATAGGCCAGGACCCAAACACCTGCAGACACAAAGACAAACACCTTCAGTCAGATGCCAGCCACTCGCCTTGCTTTGACTTCAGCAGTGCTGCACACAGCCGGGACTCAACGCGGGCATGCGGCTCACCCCTGGGTGCAATTCTGGTGGCAGGGCTGGCACTGGCCCGTGCTGTCGGCGTATTTCCATATCAGAGTGTCTCCATCTCCTGGCACGCCGTGGGGGCAGTGGGGCACGCAGTGAGGCCCATCCTTAAAACGGGCGCACTGGGAGCACTGGTCTGGACCCTGCAGGTGGGGGGTGGGGGGGTAATACAGCATCTGGTCAGCTGTTACTAATTAGAACAATTCTCCTGCTTTGTTAGTCTCATCTTCTTGTACCACTGGACCGTACACAGGGAAAAGCTAAGGAGCAGCATCTGAACTGACCGGTCCAGTGCAGGTTGGGACCCCGTCCTTCAGCTCACACTCTGAGTGACACGCCACACATCTGCCGGTCACCTCAACCTCCCTGGGTTCGCTGCACAGAAACACCCAGTCACAGGTTAAAGCTTTTATACAGTGTACGAAGTAAACTGTCAAGTCAAGGCAGGTATTAAACACAGCCTGACTGTGATGCTTCACTCTGTGGACGAGCTCAGTGAAGGCACCGCCTGCTGTCTGTGTCATCCAACTTTAATCTAGTGGTGGGAAGAACTTCAGTCCAGTTCTAAGAAACCAGCTTTTTACTCCATACATGTGATACATGGATACTTCAACAGATAAAATCTTAGTTTATCATGAGTAACCGTTGTTGTCCAACATGCTTAACTGTGTATAAAATGGGTGAAAGTGACTCCACAGACCGGCTACATTACACAGTTTACATGCTACGTTCATCAGTAATAAGAAATGGCTTAGCGTGCGTCTACTCTACACCCTCAGTGCTTTTAGCCAATAACAGTTACATGTTTTCACTGAAGTCACACGTCTGAGCTCACACTGGTGTATTTGCATTCACAACTGAACATCTTAGATCCACTGTTTTCAAACATGTCAGACTAGTTTTTAGAAAGCTATGTACTCTGACACTCCCAGAAATACTTTCAGTACATACCTGACAGCACTCGCGTTGTGCAAGTACTGATGTGCACTACGACACCACTCACTCTGCATTACCCTCACTACCACTTGCACCTTACTGCGACATTTCAGGACTTAGCAGTACTTCACATTACATTTTGTAGTAATTTAAAACACTTTGTGTGCAGAACGGGAATGGAGGTTGTCCCTGACACATCTAAACTGGCCATCTCTCACTGCTTCCTGCCAGAACCACCTGGTGCAGCTCTCCTCACCCCTGCAGCAGGTTGCAGGCGGACACACAGCGCCCCCTGCGGTCCAAGTGCTGACAGGAGACGCACATGGTGGGACCTGGACCCCAGCAGCCCCCGTCTGTGCACTCCGAGTCACAGGTGCGGTTCTGTTGTTCTGTTTGAGGATGACAAGAAAAAGGGTGACGTGACCTGTCTTCACTAAATATAGCCCTGAGCCTGACACACACTCACCACAGACGTCGGGCGGAGCATTATTATGCATAGTGATGATCTGGTCGCTGGATCTGAATAGGCCGCTCCACTGCTTGGGCTGGGTGTAGCACAGCTGGATGTTGTCCTTCAGCACCACCTTCCCGGCACTCACCTCCTTCAGGGAGCGCAGGCCCAGCCAGCGGAGGTGCTTCGCTCTCACCACGGCCAAACTGTGCTGACTGTTACAGGAAAGACTCTGTGTGAGTGTCGGTTCAAAAACAAACACAGTTTGTCCTGGTCTGTGGAGGTGGGGCGGTACTGGCCTCCAGCTGACGACACTTGAGCTGGTCCTGGTTTATGAGTGGTCGGTCCCACAACTGTCTCCTAAGTTCATATACAACTAATTTAGCAAATGGATTTTTTAGGAAAATTAACACCATCTAGATTTTTGGATAAACACAGAAACCAAATGTTTACACTGAATGAATCCATGTAAAGGTTCCGATCAATATGTTTCAGTTGTTTTCCTACAGCATCAACAGGTGGCAGCAAAGTCACGGTGAAGGATTGGATGCTTCTGGTCAGATGCACACAAAGCACTTGGGTCAGTGGAGGTTTAGGCTCAAAACAGGACATGTGGAGAACAACATGTGAGACTGAGGCCCGTGGACCCTCGTCTCCGGGGTCGAGTTTGCTATGCAGGGCTCGGTGCTTTAGGCAGACACTGGCATCAGCTTGTAAACTGGACAAGAATGAAGCACGTTGCAGAGTGAGTGGAGCCCTTGGATGTGGCTGAGGGACTGCGGTGACTCTCACTGCCAGCACTTCGGTTTATAATCCGGTAACTGAGAAACACAAGTCTACACCTCAGAAATTCAGCTGGTATTTCTAAAGCGACATGTCTGTCCCCAATGACGTGGAGCTGAGACTCACGCTCGTGTTGTTCTTCCTCTGATGATCTCCAGGTTCTCGAACACTGACAGGGAGCTCAGATTCTGAGGAGCAAACACTTCTCAGCCGGGGAACTGTGATGATCTCTGCCCTACCAGTGATCTCCCTCACAGTCCTGAAGTACTCCAGCTTATCTGGGTGCATGGGCGGGATTTTGTAGTGCGCATCCCTGAAACAACCAATGAGAAGCACAGGTGACACCCCCGCAGGTCAGGGAATTAAATTTAGCTTTAATTAACGTTAGACATGTAGAGCGGCTGAAGCCAGGCTGACTTTTCTTGCAGGTAGACTGAGGTGACCCTACACAACTAAACCACTGACTTGATAAACACACTGGTTGTTCACAGTGAAGCATGTGAACCACCCACAGCAACCAACAAATTCATGACACGTTGCTGCTGAGCAGAGTGTCGCACCCAGCGAAGGAGGTTTCGATGAGTGAGATGTCCCCGTTGATCTTGGTGCAGTTCCTGAAGGACTCGATGTTGGACGCGTTGACTGCCATGGTGTTGATGAGTGTGCCAACCCCAACTCCGTCACAGACTGGAGGAAAAACAAAGTTCTATCAGCTCGTTGGGTCAGTGCTAAAGCCTCTTTTTCTCTGTGTGTCTCCGGGTCTCTCTACCTTTAGGACAGGGGCCTTCGCAGGCTTTGCAGCGTTGAACTCTGTTCTCCTCTACCTCGTACATCCCAGCGCTGCAGGTTCGTACACAGGACCCTTCTGTCACTACGTAGTTGCCTATACACAGACAAAAACAGTGCAGGTTTCCATTCATGTCAACCAAAGGTTTAACGAGTGCTACTGTACTTCAGTAGCCTGTGATTAGTAACTTCTGTTGTCCCAATGTGGACCCGGGGCCACTGAATCATTTGGATGTTACCTGTCCTGTCCAACGCCATCACAGTGTGACTGTAATAAAAGCTGCAGCCGACAGGGAACGAGCTGATGATTACTAGAATACATACATATTAGAATGAACCACGACAAACAAAGTGTTTAAAGTCCATACGCGGGCACTTTGTGACGCAGGTCGCCCCGTAAGTGAACTTGGCATTGGGGTTGTTGACCACCTGGTGGGTTTTGGGGTCGTAGAGTTTCAGCGGCGGACAAGCATCTTTACAGGTCCCGTCATCATTGAAATCCCGGCAGGCCTGGACAGGAAGCGGAGACACAGAGACAGACTGCGTTTACTGTAACAATGTCAGTGGCTTTTTCTGTTTTTCAGGAGAAAACAGGTAGGTGCTGTATGAGAATGAGTCCACACACACACTGACCAGACAGTTCGTGGCATGAGGTCCTGTGCAGCCTGCAGCACAGTGCTCGTTGCAGCAGTCGGCTGGCCCGGGGCCTTGACACCTCCTGCTGCACTGCTCTGCACACTGCAGCTTGGTGACTGCAGCAGACACACACAGACGCTCTTTACACTACAGCTCCACTAACAGGAACAATAACAAGGTTTTCTTTTATTTGCTGTAGAATCACAACACAGTTGAATCAGTAAACATGGATCTGTGGAGGGGACGGCAAAGCCCAGGGGGCTCAAACCAAGGTGGAAGGTCTGTGTAACCAACACCCGACACAAAAGGAGCAAATGCACAACAACCAGACCATGAACAGAAATGTACAAGCAGAACCAGGGAGAGAGAGTTTAACTGGGGGTGTGTGTTTACATCTCTGGCAGTGCTGAAGTCCCGGCGCCCAGCAGGAACCGTTAACACAGCCCGGGTCGCACTTCTCACCTGGACACACACACACACACACACACCCTGTCAGTCACAGCCTCGGCTGAATGAGTAAAATATGTCTAAACTCCTGCAGCTTGGTCTCTGTCCTCCTACATATGCGAGCGTAGGCGTCCGTCTTAAAGAACATGCTGGGACTGCTGGCTTTGTCCACGATGTCCCACCACTCTATGGTCTCAGTGTTACACAGCAAGGGATTGTGGGTCATCTTTACCCCACCCTTCAGAATCTCTGTGAGAAGAAGAAGACGGAGACATGTCAGAAGCCAAGACTGGACAGTAAGAGACAAGCAGCAGGGTTGTGCTGCGTGGTGTGGCCTGAAGGTGGGCTGCCAGTCGGACACGAGCGGAGCTACCGTTGGTGGTTTTCTTTAGCCAGTCCAACAAAAGGCCACGTGTTGGATCGACACAGTAACAGCATCTGAACTGTTTTGTTTCCTGTCCCATTAATCACATCACATCTCCTCAGCTTCACTTACAATCAGATGCTTGAAGCTCTAAGGCCACGTTCACACTGCAGGCTGATGTTACTCAAATCCGATCTTTTTTCCCAAATGTGACCCATATCAGATTTCCTTATGACAGTGTGAACAGCACAAATCCGATTTTTTCAAATCCAGCCCAGGCCACTTTCATATGTGGTCCTAAATCGAATACATATCCAATGTTTTGCAATGCGACTTCAGTCTGAACGGCCATGTCGCATTTCAAATGCGACATGGCCAAATGCGTTCACGTCACAATTCTGCGCTGGAGGAGGTGAGGCCATAAGCAATATTTGTGCTCTCCTTCTTCTTGATATTCTTCTTCTTATTATTTCTTTATTTCGATTGCACATTAACTGGCACATCGCTACGCACATGCTATCACGAGCCGCATCCATTTTTATTTTCACAAACACAGTACACTGCGTCTGACGTCACGTCCTCTTCTGCGCATGCGGGTCACCTCAGGGCCGTATACCGTTCACACATGAGACAGATGGCAGTCGCATTTAAATGACAGTGTGAACAACAGTGCAAAAAAATTGGATTTCGGCAAAAAATCCGATCTGAGCATTAAGACCTGCAGTGTGAACGTAGTCTAATATTACTGTGATCACGTGATGCAAGGCCGATACTGTCACACAGCTGCACTGTTACGTTTGACACTAAGTACATTTTCTTGATAAAACTTCTGTGCTGTTTGCCAAGTTGGATTTTCAGCACAGGACTTTTGCTTTCACCGACGCTGTACTGGCATTTTTCTAACTGTCATTCATTTTTAATACATGTACAGGACAAATTCACAGAAAAACGGCCGTGTATAAAGACCCATCTGTTTCTAGAACCATTATCACACACTGTCAACGCCGCAGCTCTAGTTTCTAAACGTGCTCCACCTGCAGCTCCACAGCCTCCTGCCGACAGAGTGCCGCCCCCGCCGACAGAGCGCACCCTTTACATGCAGCTCGCTGTGCAGGCATTGCTCCAACAGGGTGCACAGTAACTATGTCACCAGCCAGAGCCTGGTGGCTGCGCTCTATTTCCTGCTGCCAAAGCACAATCTGGTGTTGACTGAAGGCTTTTGAATGGTGTGCAGACCCCACCCACCAGGCTGGCAGCCAACACAGTGAGCGAGGTGAGGTCACTGTGACGGGAGACACAAGGAAAGCTCAACCAGGAAGTGAAATTCAAATGGCTACACTTGAACCAACATTCCCACAGTCATATAAAGAGGCTGTAAGATGGTGAGTTTTAGTTTTAAAGGTCAAGGAGTCCTGTCAGTGGAAGGGCCCTGAGCAGGTTCTCAGGAGTCACTGATCACTTTAGTAACGTATCTATAGACAGGGCCGACCTACATCAGTGTATCTGGTCCCCTTAGGATCCCCTTGGATCCGTGTGTTTGGACGGCTCTGCTTTCCCAGGGCCCCTTGCACTGCTCTCTGTGATGTGTTGTTTGTGTGTATCATGTAAGTCTTTGTGTCGGTGTGCATGTACCCGTCAGGCTGCTGAGCTGCAGCTGCCTCAGCCCGCCGGTGTACTGGAGCGTCACAGATGAGTGGTCCTTGTTGTAGTTCGACATCACCAGCAGAGCATACTGGCCTTCATAAAGGTTCTGACCCCGGATCAGCCTCAGGTTGAACAGCGGCACGGTCGGTACCTCGTTCATGGCGATCAGGACGTAGCCGCCGACCTCCTGGATGGACTGAGAAAGAGAGGAGGAGGAGACGGATGAACAACTCTAGTGTTTCTCTGTTTGTTTCTGTTTTTCACTGATGTGCTTTGGCCTGTGTAAAGAACCAGGCAGGTGTCCCATGGTTCAGCCTGTCCACTAACAGTGTTTTAAATCCCATCATCCCTCACAGCAGCCACCAGGTGAAGTTCGTTTCATGGAGCCAGTGATGTTTGTCAGATCAGTGTGAGCAGCATGTTCAGTCCCATGTTTTTATTTGGGTTGATTTGGTTTTATTTGGTTTATTTGCGCTAACCTCAGCTCTGTTCAGTCTCCTTGTTTGCTTATCGCTTTCCTCTGGGTTTGATTTCCTGAAAACCAGAGCTCCTAAACTCAAAGTGCTGTTTGGCCTCTGACCATAAGACCACAGATGTCCGAGCATCCTTGAACGCAGCACCGACAGCGTTTGGTCCCCACTGACAGCCGCAGGAGGAAAACGTAACCGACAAACTCAGAGAACGGCATTGTGAACGGAAAGCTTCGCTGCCTGCTGCACTCGGATGCCAAATGGCAGCACACTGCAGGTGTCGCGTCACGCTCAACCTTAACAACCCAACAACCTTAGACACTGCACGATGTTATTTGATGTTGCCAACATCTCCTGTTGTTGGAGTGGTGGCATTATGCCTCTGCCCTCCATCGTAAGCACTGACAGCTGGGGCAGAGTTTTCTCATAAATTAGGAGATTAAGTCAGAATTATGAGATAAAGAAACCATATTTCTGGGAAAGGCCTACTTTCTGTATTTCCATTTGCAGCGAGTTTCAGGGTTCACACAAATAAAGTAACACTAACATCCACTTGGAGGAAAAGAGATTAACAGCTGATGAGGATTTGGAAAATAATCAGCAGGTATAAAGTGTTTGACACACGAAACTGCTCATGCAAAGCTTAGAGACGTCAACTAATGAACGTCTGAACAATCCAGATGAACCAAACACATGGGAGCCACATACAAGAGCCTTTCCCACAGATTGTTTAGAGCTACTTCAGCCTTCAGCAAGAAGAGACACCGCTGAGCTGCACTAAACACCAGTAGAAATGCAGCGTTTGGGCCAGACCTGGAGGAAGGACAGGTCCTGATGCTCCAGGGTGTAGGTGACCTCCAGGTTCTCCAGGACCACGGAGCAGTTGGAGTACATCCTCAGCATGTTGTCGTAGTGGTAGTCACGAGTCCCCACCTGGGTCAGCTGGTTACTCATCCCCTGACACACTGACACACAGACAGAAAATATCATCAAGGCTTTGGTTAAAGGTCGTCAACACTCATTTTAAATGTGCTAATACCACAGAGATTCAAAGTTCTGTCCACCTGCTCAGTGAATCTGTCGAGATAAAAGTACTCGTTCTGCAGAAAAATGGGCCTCGACTGACATGTTCACATTCACAGAATGATAATACTGACGCATTAGTGCTTTACTGTTAACTACATGCAACTAGTTTAACACAGTGGTTCCCAACCAGGGTTTCAGGCCCCTCCAGGGGGTCATCAGATAAAGCTGAGGGCCAGGAGGTGACAGGAGACGAAGGACGACAAAGTCTGAACTCTGAACAACAATGTTTTCTGTTTTGTACTTTCTTTAAACTGTTTTAGTGAGATATGGGAATTTGTGTCTTTGGGCCTTGAAATGAAACCAGCTTAGAGGGGAACTGGTCGCAGCCCAGTCAGGCTGGAACCAGCAGCCTAACCTGTAACAACATGCTGCACATATAAGCACGTGTCTTTATGAAGCAGACACATTATTTCTCTAATGTGGTGAAGCAGAAATATGAGTCAGCATAAAATAAATACACTACATTACAATGCAGCATAAATACTTATGACAAGTACTTCAAATTTGTACCTAACTACTTGAGCAAATGTACTTAGTTACTTTCCTCCCCTTGTATGTGATGTTCTGTTTTCTAAGCTCCCAGCTTGGTTAATGAGGCCAGGTGGGAGCATCCAGTCCGGCAGTGTGACACACCCTCAGTCATTATGTGAAGCAGAGTATTTAACACTCAGGGAGGCAAAGGAAGGTGTGGCAGCCCCAACTGGGTTGAGCAGCAGCTACACGACACATGACACACCAGCAGCCTGCTGCTGTCATCACTGTGAGGAATGAACCCTGACAGGCTCCGTGTGTGGCCGGCGGCGGTGAACGGGCTCAAGACGAAAAGGAAACTTCCTGCAGAACTTCAGACACCATGCAACTGATTTAGGGTCAGATATGAAGGAAACCGGCTTGTTTGGAGGATGCTGTGCCGTGCTGCAGGGAGCTGAGCCACGCTGTTACATCACAGACCCGGTGGGTTACAGCAGGTGGCTCTCACCTGTCCTGCAGGTTTTTCCTCCAACAGGAAACACTCTGCATGAGTTACAGTGAAAACACAGTGCAGAGGGTTTGGCATCCAAAGTCGACAAGGACAGTCGAACAAACAAAAACAAATTTCTGTTCAATCTGAGTGACATGTGACAGTGTAGGTTTTTCATAAGGTGTCAGTGTCTGCAGCCTCCCGGGCTGCACAAGGCTCCGGTGACCCTGGGCTGAGGCGATGCCTGTTTTTCTAGAAGCAACTGTGACATGTTCCCAAACGCTGCAGACAGCCGCTCTCCCTGGGGGGCGGGGCACATCGGCCTCTGGCAGGTGGGGGGCTGCGGAGACGTCTGACTGGTCTCACAGGTCGGATCATCACAGCTGCTACAACACGAAGCAGTAAAACATATTCACCGACTGTCTCACCTGAAACAACAGAGCTTCAAGGATCAAGCTGGTGATTTACTGTGATTGGTTATTTTCCACACAAAGACAAAGACAACAATGAATCTCCTGTGCTCGCTGAACCTAGAGCTTTGGTTCACCTGAACCAGACTGTAGTCAGTCAGTAAGTAAACCATCCTCCACGAAAGTGATAACGTCCAGTCTGTGTTCCCACTGTTTCACTTGTGTGAGCATTTTAAACTGTGTGGTTATGAGGTGTTTCTGTTACTTTGTCCACCCTATTAGACTGAACACCAGAGACGGATTTCGGTATGGCACAGTAAACAGCAGCTTGCCAAATGGTCACCCAGGTGAATCAGTCCTTCATTAAACACGACACAGCGTGTCCTCACAACTACATGTGAGCTGCTTGAGCTGATCAAACCAGAGACAAACCTCAGGACTGTAACACCAGCCTCAGCTCACAAACCCACGGGCTCCTTTCACTGCTCGGGGTCTCTGGTTGCATTCCTATTGGCTGGCTCCTGCTGTGATGTCACAAAGACAACACAGCTGCTCTCTGCAGCCTCCAAATCTGGACACACACTGGTAATGCTTTGGATTAACAGAGGGCTCCCACAGCTGGAATGATTGGACCCTTCTTTCTTTCTCTCCGTCCATCCTGCCTCCACCCACTCGTTCCTCCCTGTGGGCTCCTCCTTCCTTCCTTCCATCCTCCTCTGTCATCTGTCCTCTCTCTTTTATCCCCAGCCTCTCCTGTCTCAGTCCTTGTTTTCTCCCCCGCCAGACTGCTTCGCTCCCCAGACCCCGACCCTCGTTCCTCTGTGCTTCACTGCAACACGAGCAGTGACTTTTAGTCCTGAGCCTGGGTCCCACTCCAGACACTCAATTCTACATTTCTCACAATGCATTTCAAACTCACACCATCACTTTTTTCATGGGCCCAACTGATCAGATTTGCTGCGGTCAACGCGTTGGTTTGTCTGCGGCCCCTGGACCGGACTGAACCAGTTCTGACACCTGGGATTTCTACACAGAACATCTGCTCAGGGAGAAGAGGAGGTGAATATAAAAACATGTCTGTCACATCTGTGGGTTCAGATTTGACTGAGAAAAGAAGTGTATCAGCAGCTTGAGATGTTGTCAGCAGCGTCACAGCTGCACGTGGACTCAGGGCTACTACAGTGGTAAGCTCTGATCACTGCAACACTTCTGGTTGTCAACTTTAACCTGTGAGTGTTAGAAGGAAAAAGCAGAGACGATGATGTTACCACAGGTTCAACTTACACAAGCACACACATGCTTCATCACACACACACACACACACACACACACACACACACACACACACAGAGTTTGTTCAGGAACAGGTCTGGTCTGTCTCCTTCTTGGACGACATCCCAGGCTGCTGTACGGCACGTTGCACCTGACAGGAGCCCGTCCTCCATGTGTATGAAGAGTGAAGTGCTGACGTGCACATTTTCATATGAAGCCAAAGACAATGCAGTGAGTAAATGTTCAGTTTGTCATTACACAGAAGACACACGCTTGGTTCTGCTTCAGCTCTGCTGAACAGTGAAGTCACCTTTTCTACAGAACAACAAAAAACCTTCAGCCACATCATCTGTTTGTCTTTATGACAAAGACTGAATTTCAGCTTGAGAGCAGCACAACCACCTGAGATGACCCTGAACTGACACCTGCTGTGTGACGACTGCTCCTCCAGCCCAGCGACGACTCAAATTAAATTCTGGTCTATAAAGGTCATTGTGTGTAAGAGCACTGCTACTGCAGGGACCCGGCCCCGAACAGAGCAGCAACCTCATCCTGAGTAACCGACCACCGTTAGCTTGTGTAACGCTACAACGATGTAAAACACACATCAAGTCAAAACCTAATCTGCTCCAGAGGAGCAGCGAACTCTCTGCCTCCTTAGGGAAAATATTCCCCAACTCTAAGTCAGTGCTGGACTTCAGAAATCTGTCATTGCTCGTAGATAAACGAGTCTGTGTGGTGTCTGGTCAAACGTGCACTGCTGAGGTTGGCGGCGAGAAACCAAAGTCACTGACTGTCAGTTTTCTTTGGTAGCAGCAGGTGATGGGCTGAGACAGCGCAGTGTACACAACGTATATGTTATTTTTGTCTAATGCCAGTAGTTTCCTAAAACGTCTGCTTGCTGTTGTTTTCAATCAAACCAAAGGCGGGAAATGCAGAAATGTTGGGGACTATTTTCATCAGTGTATGAACCCACATCTGGTCTCTAGTGAGGGTTTGTGGCAGCAGGACAGTGTGTGTGGGCCTAAAATAAATCCCTGAATTTTCAAGATTAAGGCTTTTTAATATGGCTCTTAAGTTAAGAGTAAGTTAAGGGATCTTAATGAGACTGCAAGGAGATGGGCTAATTAACGTATTAATGAACTGATCCTATGACATCATTAGGAAACGTGGGAAAACCTTTACAACCGATACAGTCAAAGCTACAGGTTCACTTCAGTTCACAAATGAACAGTCTGCTTTTCTTACTGTGTGAAATGAAACCATGTTGTCTTGTGTTTGCGTCACAGAGGAAGGTTTCTGTCTGCGAATGTGCCGTTTGTTTTAGTGTTTGACCTTTGTTCAAGGTCAACAAACACACACACACAGTCACACAGAGCTGTGCGGTTTCCAACTTGTTCACACAGATGTGACGTGGAAATGAATAATTTCTACTGAGTCTATCGCTGTCGAGAGGAGTTGCAGCTGGTAAACAGAGACTCAGAGCTGATTACTCAGCTATTACAGACCCACACAGCTCAGAAAGGACAAAGACAGGGAGCAGAAATGTCCAGGTGCTGTTGTTGTTTGGTAACATTTTTGTCTCTCACACACACAGTGAGAGAATGTCGCAATGAGAGAGGAAGAGGTGGAGAGACACTGTGTGGTTTCAGGTACACGTGTGTGTCAGTGTTGGCCTAGCTGTAACGAGCTGCCGACTGTGTTCACCACAATAACTGTGCGTCAGTCAGCCTGTTGATTCCCTGCTGCTGGTGGGCTGAGCCATCCAATCAGCTGCAGACTGAGCCCAGACCAATTCAACTGACGCTGCCCTGAGAGCAACAAATCCTCAGAGTGAGTCAGTTCTGATGACGTACATTAAAACTTGAACTGACATACTGCGACTCCTGAAACTGACCTGAAAGTAGCTGCTGGTTCCAGCAGTGACGGAGGGGAGCGTCGTCCTCTAACAGACGGTCTCTGGCTGAGGACACACACAGGCCTGCACAACAGGGGCCAGGCCCGGCTGCTCCTTGATCATACAAAGGGCCACGAGTTTCAAGTAGACAGTTTTACTACCAAATGTGAAGTGCTTCATTGTGCACAACAGCTTGATTCTACCTCGAAGTGCTGATCAGTGCAAAGAGAAGCCTTCATCCAAGTGTTAGTCTGCAAAACAGAGCAGCTCTGACTGAACGGCTCAAAGAATAAAGAGATCAATCCATAAAAGCCTGAACACATTTAAAAATATGAACTG